CATCAGTTCCAGCATCAAACGTCATACCTGCTTTAAAAGCATTAACATAAGCACTTCCTTGGCAGCTTGGTGGGAACTTCTCAAAATATCTGGGTCTTCACCTATCCCATGCAGATTTACCCCAATCTGGAATAATCCTGACATCCTGCAAAATAAGAAAACACTAAATTCCCCACTGTGGTATGACAAAGGGATAAGACATCTAGAGCATGTAATGCAAGGCAGTAACTTTATTCCATTCCAGGATCTAGTGGCACAATATGGAATTCGCCATAATAGATTTCTGGAATTTCAACAGTTTAAATCCATAATTCAGGCTAGATTCAAGGATAAAATAATGGACTTAGATTTACCTCCAATGATAACAGACTTTCTTAAACTCTCGCCTCCAAACTGTTATCAAAAGTATACATGTTAGTGTTAAAAACAGATAGTTCAAAAGTGGGAGACAGATCTATCCATTAGTCCAGACCAAAACTTTTGGATGCAGATATGTTTAAATACCTTTAGAATGACTACAAATCCCAATCTACAACTTATACAGTATAAAGCTCTCCATAGAACACACTATACTGGACAAAGGATTTTCAGAATGGGTCTTATGCAGTCAAACATCTGCCGGAACTGCTCAGGTAACATATCTGATAGTTACATGCATGCTATGTGCCAGGGGATGTGCCAGCTCCGATGGCCTGGTGGTGCTCGGAGTGCTTCTGATTGTGGGGGAGCGGTGAGGTGGGGGGGGGTCGCAGTGGGGCTGCCAGAGGGGCCCAGCGAGGACGGGGAATTGTTGGACTTTGGGTTGGGGCTGCACTGACCTGCCTCGGGAATGTGTGGGGGTCTGGGGCGGGTCTGCGCGCTGGGGGGCTGGGCCCCCTGGGCCCATCCTGGGGATGGGTGGGGTTGTCGCTGACTCTGGGGTGCTGCCGGTGCTAGAGGGGCTCTTGCTATAAGCCCTGGGCTGGAGGGACCTGGCGTCCTCCTCTTCGGCAGAGGTGAGGCTCCCGCTGCTTCCCCCTGCCAGCTCTCTCACGGTGGGGGCATTCGGGAGTCTCTGGGGCGCATGGCCGGTGTTGTCGGGTAGGTTTTGGTGCTCCTCCTTGGGGGTGCTTGACTGGGGGGGGCTGGGCCCCTGTCCGGGGATGAGATCGGCCTCGGGGGCTGCTGTCACTGCCTGTATGCATCTAGTAGTAGGGAGGGATGCCTCTGGCTGGGCTGGGGGACCGTTGGCCTGGTTCTCCCACGTTATCGCTCCCTGGTGGCAGGGAGCTTCCTGGCACGGCTTTCTGCTGCTCTTCCTTGGGGCGGGGTACAGCTTCCCCCGGGACATGCGGTCTGGGGTCCTTTGCGCTTTGGGGGGTCGCAGGGTGTCCTGGCTTCTGGGGGTGGGGGTCTCTGCGCGGGTTGATCCAATTGCGGTTTGGTGGGCTGCGGTGGGATTGTGGGGCGATTGTCGATGCATCTTGATGCATTATGCTTTTTCCTGGGCAGGGTCTCTGGATGGCTGCTGGGCGTTTAGTTTGTGCATTGGAGTCCAGGGGAGGCATTTCCTCGTTGGCTTGGAGGGACCTGTTTGCGTCCCTGTTTTGCTTCGTTGGCCTCGGATCCGTGCTTCCCATTTCTCTGTCGGCCAGTTGTGGACCCTCTGGATACTGAGGTATATAGTTAGTTTTCGGGATGTGCAGTGTGGGTGCGGGGCAGGGCTGTTTGTTCTGGGTTTGTGCCTGGAGTTCTCGGCCCTTGATGGGTGGGTGGGTTGTTGGTGGCATGCAGCTGAACTAGTTGATTTTGCCTCGTTGCTGGTTTGGCTGGTGTTGCATGGCGGCCGGGGGGCGCGCTGGGCATCGGGGATGTCGGCTGGCGCTGGCGGCCTTAGTTTTTTCTGGCGGTTGGGGGGACATTCTGCGTTTGCATCGTGGTGCATCTGGGAGTCTTTGTTTTTTTTGATTGATTTATTCTTTTCTTTCTCCCACCCCTATTGGCTACTGGGGTTCTTACCTGCCTGTTGCTGGGGTAGGTGTGGCACAGTCGTGGCCCCCACTCTCACTAACAACTACATTCTTTAACAGGCTTATGCGCACACACATGTTACATACACACAGACAGATTCACCCACACGCACACAGACACACACAGACACAAACAAATTTAGGTTGTCCCTGGTAGAATTATTACTGATGCTTTTCTTTCAGTTACTTATTTAAATTAATTATTATTCCAGCTCTCGTGGCTGTGCTGTTGCTTATTTAGTGTGTGTGACTGTTTCTTGTTTTCATTTTTCTCTTAGTTGTCTTACTATGTCAGCTGTTTATTGCTGTGTTCGGCTGGTTGTCTTTTACTATTATTATATTTTTTTGTTTGTTTTGTTTCTTTTTGTTGTTTTTCTCCTCCCCAAGCCCCCCTCTCTGTTCTATTGCAGGTTTTGTTGTTTCTGCAATTGGTGTTTCCCACAGCTTTTCCCTGTTGTCCCCACCTTCCATCCCCCTTTCCCCCTTCTCTTACAGGTGTTGTCCTTTCTCTGTGCTGTCTGTTTGTGCCCCCCCCCATCCCAATAATAATAATAAAACAGACAAAGGAGTATTTTAATACTCTCTTGTTAAAGTAAAATCTGTCTGGCACAATATGGTATCCAGGTCATTATACTCTATACCAGGCTGCTGGGCGGACAGGTTGGAAAAAATAAAAATAAAATGTAGTAGCAGCAGTGTGTGTACTGTAAAACAGGAGCTCAGGAGTTACATATAAATCATGATATGAAGAAGAGTAAAGAAACTTGTCACATAAACCCAGTGAAAATTTGTGAAATGTTTCCCCAAGGCTTGGCTGAATATGAAGTGTGTAGAAAGTGTTTTAACACCTTTCCAAAAGACATGGAGATAATTTTGTGTATGTCAATAGGCTGTGTGCAAGACAACAATAGTGTTTACATCCTTAACCCAACACACAGTAGTTCCTCTTCCCAAGACCTACTGTAAGTCTGCAGCCAGACAACAGAGATGATATACTGTACAGTGAGGAAAATAAGTATTTGAACACCCTGCTATTTTGCAAGTTCTCCCACTGAAATCATGGAGGGGTCTGAAATTGTCATCGTAGGTGCATGTCCACTGTGAGAGACATAACTAAAAAAAAAATCCAGAAATCACAATGTATGATTTTTTAACTATTTTTTGTATGATACAGCTGCAAATAAGTATTTGAACACCTGTCTATCAGCTAGAATTCTGACTCTCAGACCTGTTAGTCTGCCTTCAAAATGTCCACCTCCACTCCATTTATTATCCTAAATTAGATGCACCTGTTTGAGGTCGTTAGCTGCATAAAGACACCTGTCCACCCCATACAATCAGTAAGAATCCAACTACTAACATGGCCAAGACCAAAGAGCTGTCCAAAGACACTAGAGACAAAATTGTACACCTCCACAAGGCTGGAAAGGGCTACGGGGAAATTGCCAAGCAGCTTGGTGAAAAAAGGTCCACTGTTAGCAATCATTAGAAAATGGAAGAAGCTAAACATGACTGTCAATCTCCCTCGGACTGGGGCTCCATGCAAGATCTCACCTCGTGGGGTCTCAATGATCCTAAGAAAGGTGAGAAATCAGCCCAGAACTACACGGGAGGAGCTGGTCAATGACCTGAAAAGAGCTGGGACCACCGTTTCCAAGGTTACTGTTGGTAATACACTAAGACGTCATGGTTTGAAATCACGCATGGCACGGAAGGTTCCCCTGCTTAAACCAGCACATGTCAAGGCCCGTCTTCAGTTTGCCAATGACCATTTGGATGATCCAGAGGAGTCATGGGAGAAAGTCATGTGGTCAGATGAGACCAAAATAGAACTTTTTGGTCATAATTCCACTAACCGTGTTTGGAGGAAGAAGAATGATGAGCACCATCCCAAGAACACCATCCCTACTGTGAAGCATGGGGGTGGTAGCATCATGCTTTGGGGGTGTTTTTTGCACATGGGACAGGGACTGCACTGTATTAAGGAGAGGATGTATTGCGAGATTTTGGGGAACAATCTCCTTCCCTCAGTTAGAGCATTGAAGATGGGTCGAGGCCGGGTCTTCCAACATGACAATGACCCGAAGCACACAGCCAGGATAACCAAGGAGTGGCTCTGTAAGAAGCATATCAAGGTTCTGGCGTGGCCTAGCCAGTCTCCAGACCTAAACCCAATAGAGAATCTTTGGAGGGAGCTCAAACTCCGTGTTTCTCAGCGACAGCCAGAAACCTGACTGATCTAGAAGATCTGTGTGGAGAGTGGGCCAAAATCCCTCCTGCAGTGTGTGCAAACCTGGTGAAAAACTACAGGAAACGTTTGACCTCTGTAATTGCAAACAAGGCTACTGTACCAAATTAACATTGATTTTCTCAGGTGTTCAAATACTTATTTGCAGCTGTATCATACAAATAAATAGTTAAAAAATCATACATTGTGATTTCTGGATTTTTTTTTTTTAGATTATGTCTCTCACAGTGGACATGCACCTACGATGACAATTTCAGACCCCTCCATGATTTCTGAGTGGGAGAACTTGCAAAATAGCAGGGTTTTCAAATACTTATTTTCCTCACTGTATAATCAATTTAGCCCAAAACACTTCATACTATCACCACTATCTCAATCAACACAAAGCAAGCATCATAATGAGCATCCCAAACAACAACAAAAAAACTAAAATAGCTTGCACAGCGAGGTATTTTACAATTAGCACCAACACAGCAGAAATTAGCAGCCAGCAGACACAAACATATTGCTCAAAAAACATCAACACACAACACAACAACTGTAGTCTCTTAGTTTGCTTACTTTGAGACTGGGGGTTTCATGACCTTGGAAAATTAACTTATTATTAGCTCTCATGCAGTCTCAACTTTTAAACCAGCATTTAAAGTAAATCGAGAGCTAAGGAACACTGTTTTATTAGCAGCTGTTTTGTCAACTAGCTTTATATTGCTCTATTTTTAAAGCACAGTAGACATGAGACATACAGGCACTTAGCTTTGCCGAAGTGAAGAGATGTGAAATGTTTGTAGACCGCAGAAACAATCTCCGTTTCTTAGCCTGAAGTGAAAGTTTGAGGCCGACAGCTAACCCGAACAGTGAAGAGCACGACGATGATTTCTTCCCAGAACTGGCGTTTTGCAGGTTAGCTTCCCTCTGAAACGCTACATGTGTGGCAGCAGGCCAAATAAAAACAGTGGGCAGGCCATGACAGCTTAAATATCCCGCCTTCCAGCAAGGGGTGGTGCATTACGTTAAACTGTTAGCAGCATAAATCGCATGTGAGTAAACTCATGACACCAGTATTTTGTATTCAAGTATTAAATACTTTACCAAAGTAAAAGTCATGACAGGCTAAGAAAAAGTCCCACAATCAAAATATAACTTCAGTAAAACTACAAGTAGCAAAATGTCATCAAAAGTATTAGTTTGTGGGCCCTGTCAGTGGTTTTAACATGTAAACAGTACTTAAAGCTGTGGGGGTGGAGCTAATTTAAGTGCTTCATATACTTTTGGGTAATTTATAACACAGCACCATATTTTAACTAGTAGGCTAACTACTGTCACTGGAGTATAAGGTACATTATTTCCCTCTGAAATGTAGTGGAGTAAAAGTATAAATCTCTGATTGAAGATTTAAGCAGGAAAAAAAATCCCAAACAAAAGAGAGTAGGCTACTTAGGGGAGTGTGAAATATGATCATGTATCCAGGAACATGACATGTAAACTTCATCTCTTTAATTAACTTTAATCCATTTAAGTCTTAATATGCAGTTTGCTGTAAGATTTACAACCATCTTTTTGAAAGAATATTAATATCGTGAACATTTAACAGCAACAAAAATAATCCCTATCTGTGCTGTTGAGGATTATTTTTAATGAACAGCAGATTATCATGTCAAGTCCAATATAGATAAAGGATGATGTAATGTGGTAGAAGCCTAAAATGTTTTAACTGTGGCTTCTATTCATGGGCATAAAAGTTGCTTATTATTTTGCATTTTAATGGGGATTTTTTTCCCATTTAAGCTCAGCCTGAATACAGGTGTTCCCTCTTTCAGATGAGTCTTAGTTGCTGATTGTTTTCTCTGTTTCTCTCAGCAGATTTTTTTTTACCAGATTTAATAGGTGAATGCTGAATTTTAACCAATTATGATGTACATTAGCCCTTACTTGTGATGTTTGTGCAGATAATGAGTGAACATCTCAATTCAACATGGTGCTGTCCTTCTGCAAACATGTGTCACACTCTTATCATCTTATCACACTCTTATCATCAGAACTATTAAGGACTGTATATTTAGTGGATTTCTGTTATATTTCATATATTTGTAATTATAGCGCAAATTAGACAGTAACTGAATGTTTCACAGATGCTTTGTGGGGATGCAGCATTTTGTGAGCTACTTGTTATTGCAAAAATAAATCTTTGACATTATCGGATTTGGTGTAACCCATAAAAGTCATAATTTGCCACAACCAAAGGAGCTGTTGCATACCTGCAACAGCAAGAACTCAAAAAGCACATACCTCCATTTTTATAATCAGAGATAACATGGCCATTACTTTCACTGTAATGACTGCACATGGCAGTTATTCAAATCTTCTCTCTAATATGAGGATCAACGCCTCTTCCTGACAAAAACCTCCACAGAAATCACATAAAGGAGGAATAAAATTTCTATTTTGTGAACTTTATTATAATGAGACTATTGCACTTCAGATGAGTTACAGGTTTCATGACAGTATTGAACAAGCTACAAATCCGTGCAGGCCCACAGTGGATGTTGTGAAAATGGCTGATAATGAAGTTATGTAATGTGTCTTGTAACATTTTACGAAATTGTTGTGGCTCAGTACTGACTCTCTGAACTCCCATATCCTCTCAATTCCAAAACTGTAGAGATACAAGGTAATCAAGCCAAAACAGCAATATCACAGCTGATCCAAGATAAACGCACAAATATGCAACCAGGAACCAGTTTGCTGGATACTATAATTATGCCACAGCACAACACCAAAAATACTAGCTCAGTCACCTGGCAAGACATCATAACATAGATAGTGTTTCTTAGTGTTAGTTTGTAAACACTGAAGTCTAATGTAATGAGATCCTCTGCAAATATTTGTATGAGAAGACCAAGAGTGAGAACAAAGGTGAAACTTCATTCTGTTACTATGCTCGACCCTTGTGAAAATAATTACCAAACAATCCTAAGGTGTGCTCCAAATCCTTCCACCTTTAAAAGCAGATTAATATTCTGCTACTTTCAAATGTTGTTAAATAGATTTATTTTGTCTTTATTTTCAATCAGTAATCATTTTTATGTTCGTTTCTTTTCAAATTTGCTTCCAATTTCCATCCATCCATCCATCGTCAACCGCTTATCCTGCGTACAGAGTCGCGGGGGGCTGGAACCAATCCCAACTTATATCGGGTGAAAGGCGGTTACACCCTGGACAGGTTGCCAGTCCATCGCAGGGCATATGAATTGTACTATAAATTATAAATACATTTGCTTAGCCATTTCTTTTATTGCCGCATAAAACTATGCATTTTACAGTTTTAGCTTTTGCATGGTAAAATAACATAACAAAAATAAAATAACAACATAAAATGTTGTTTGATATACTGCATACATTTGGCTTTTACAGTGTGCAAATTAATAATGTCCTGTCCCAAATATTTCGATATGGAAACTTGAATCAAACAGTGGCTTATTTACACAAGTGTTATTTTCATATAACAAATTCAACAAGTTCAATATTCACCCTGTTCTGGTATCCATCAACTTCTGTAGGATGTATCTGGTACTATAGCTGCTGAACTCAACTATGTAAGTCTGCTCAGTTTTGTGCTGTACAGTTATTGAACATTTAAAGCATTTATCTTAAAATAGCTTCCTGTTGCTGCTAAAAGTAAAGCTGTACAATCAAAACAGTGAGTCAAAAGAGGCTAAAACTCTCAGTACAGCTGAGAGGAACTACAGGGCTGGGTGTGTTTCTCTGTGTCACTAAGTGACACGGAGAATTCACATACATAGAGTAATTTGATCTTTGTTAAAAGTAATAAAAATATGGCCATGTACAGTATGCACTTTAGGTTTAGGTGTGGCACACAGTCTGCAGCTTACTGCATTAGACTGCAGTAAAGGTCACTTGCAGATGTAAGCTACCTGTAGAAGTTTTAAACACATCATTAAAAACACAAAGCTCCACTCGTTATAGTTCCTGCCAAAGATACATGGGACAAGTGCCTGACTGCTGACCTGAATTAGTTGTTTGATGCCTGTGGCTGTGCGATGGGGAAAGGACAGTCTGTCTTTTGAACAGTGACAGTCACTCAGCTAGTTTCACACCTGCTTCAGTTGGAATAGTTAACAGGAGATCATTTACAGACTGAAGCAGGCTGAATCAGCAAAATGGATGAATACAGTCCAGGAGGCTGAGATTGAGTGGGGGACATACAAATGAAATGTTACACCTTATACAAATCGAATGTATATGTTGTGTTTCAGATTTCAAGAACAGTCATATAATTGCTGTGTCACATTCATATGCCCTCAGGATTTGTCAAAAACATGATTTAACATTGTTCAAAATTGTTCCAAAACAGTGGGAGTAATACATATATCAACTATACATACATTTATTACACAATTATATATGATGTTCCTATTACCTCACACTATAATAAAATAATTTTTACATCTTAAATAATAATAACTGTCATTAATAAAATATTAGCAGCAATGTCATGAGTGCAACCTTCAGCCTTCACACAAGGTTTACCAGAGTAAATTTGTTTTTGTCTCTCAGTTTAAGACGGCCCTTCCGATGATAGGTTACTCATCCATTGTCACTGTGATTGCACGTGCAGTGGGATGATGGAGAAATTAGCTAATTTAAATTTTGTCATGGCTAATGCCACCTGATTTTCTGAGGCTGAATCTCAACAAAGCATCTATCAAAGTATTCACATAAATCATCCCTGACAGGGTATTCAAAAACAAATACACATTAAAATCTTCGTTGACTTAAGCTCAGCACCAGCAGACCCGCATTTGGCACCAGATCATCAGTTAAATATTCTTCTTCCACTTCTATCAGTGTCCACAATTACATGATTAATTGTGACATTTCATTCCATTTTTTCCATAACCTGCAATTGCTTTCCATGCAACAATGTAAACAATAAACAGCAGTGCACAAAACAAGATGGGCAGTAGCAGTGTGTGTGTGTGTGTGTGTGTGTGTGTGTGTGTGTGTGTGTGTGTGTGTGTGTGTGTGTGTGTGTGTGTGTGTGTGTGTGTGTGTGTGTGTAACTTTCAGCTACATGACTCATATTTGAACAAACACACAGAATCAGGATTTCATTGAACGCAGATGCACCACTGGGTTGGAGACAGATTTCCTACTTCATGAAAACACACAAGACTTTGGCCAAGAATAATCAATGAGTGTGCTCTGCCATTTCAGCCATGAATCAAGTTGAGTGACTTGAAAGTGTGCCAGTATCCTGAAGGAGAGTAGTAGTAGGGGGAAGCTGTACTTATTTTCAATTCTCTTTCCAATTTTGCTGTTTCCAATAGATAACCAATAATATCCACCTGCACTCCTACTGAGAAGATGCAGCTATTTTCAAGTTCAGCCCTGTGGTCGACCTGACTGTAATATTGGAATGTGCCACTAAGACTGTGAGGATGCTCAACGGACAGTTTCCCATGATGAGAACTTGCTTGTCAGTCACAAGTCTGAGGTAAGGAAGATATGAAACATATCTAGTCGAGGTGTGGCGGTCATGGTTAGTAAATAGGCAGGTACCACATTTGATGTTAATGCCAGGAGACCAGGGTTTGTATCCTGTCTCACATCAACAATTAATGTTGCTATTTTGTAATGTCAGGAAGAAGGAGCTGCACAGTCATAACGCTGATGCAGTCGTATTAATATTTAGCCACGCTGGTATATCTGTCCACCACTTTGATCCAGACTGAAATATCAGATTGTCATTTTGTACAGATACTCTGCCAACACAGAGGCCCCCACTGAAAGAAGGACAACGCAGGCTGCAACTGCAAATCCCTTGTAGATTACTTCCTGGTCAAGTGCTATATTTCTACTGTTTGCCTCCCATTTATCATAAAAGGTAAAATAGTTGCCAGCTTTCGAGAGTTGTAAAATCTGTGAGTATTATAAACCTCCATGTCATCAGCATATATTGCAAAGTTC